TAGTCTGCAACAACAATTAGTTATTCACAAGGTTTGTTAACATGTTTTGTTTGGATCAGAAATGATATTGAATTAGTTGTTATGTTGGAAGGATTACATTTAATTAAAAATATCCTAAGGGAATCGTTAAAGATCATTAATATAAGTTTCTTGCAACGTGTAATTGTTGATATAAAGTTACTAAAATTATTAGTAAACAAACAAGTTATTTATTTAAACAAAGAACCCGGTCTATTTGTATAATGTAGCTGTATGACATCGAGCATTTATAAATTCTCGATGCTGTATGATTTTATATGATTCACAATTGGACCCGGTAGGTGGCGCTGTTGTCGAGATCCAGAAATCATCCGTGCGAAGCCGAGTCGGATCGCTAGTTTTAAATAAAAATAGTAAACAAGATCAGTATGACCATTATCAACAAATGAGGTAACTGTAATAGTTATGGTGATGAATACCAAAAACTAGTTATTTAAGTTGTGCTTATAAACTAAGGTCAAGGTAAGCACATTAATCTCTTTTTTTTTTAAATTTCATTCTTATTATATGATTATGTTTTTAAAGATTACTCTTAAAGGAAAGCAGTATATTTTCCCCTAGCCTCACCATAAAAACGGAAAAATGTCTGTCCAGACCAAAAAGATGCCCAGCGGGACTTTTCATTTTAACATTTTACAATGAAAGATATGGCTTGTAATGTTACACCGTTTTCACACACTCACAACATATTTTACCACCGTCCTCAATATATTAATATCTGCCATAATTTAATTAATAAGGTTTAATTTTGCACACAAATTATACTTTGATTCGATTCTCTCTTCGCCCTTGAAGTTTTTGACTTTTATGGTTATAATAATCTCTTCTTTCATCATTTTATTCTATCATAGGTGATCGTACTTTCTTCTAATAACACGTTTCAATTGCGACGGGCTGTCCTTTACGAGTTGATAGTAGTGGTCACAAGATAGCCGTTAAGTACGTGGAAGAAAATCACTCGTCACATCAATTCGTTGGAGGATTTTTTATAAATTCGTTTATAATTAAACCTTAAAAAAGCCGACTTCAATAAGCTAAAAATACTAAATAAGTGCTACATAATTCAATAGTTTCGGTAGTCTAGTCTAGGATTTAATTCTTTGCTGCGCCTGTGTCTTAGCACTGACTTTATATGGTATTCAATTATGTGTGTGTAAGTCAGATTTTGTTAATTTAAAGTTTAATTACTTGACAAAATTTAAATGAACTAAACTCTTTATTCTTTTAATTTGACTAAAGAACATCAAAGTAACAACTAGAATTCGGTTATATTAAAAATTTTATCCCCTATTTTCATGGGTAGAATATTTTAAAAATGAATAGTAGAAAAACATATTATTTATCTCAGTTCTCGGTGAACATACATAATACAAAACATACGCGCCGAATATGGAACCACCTCTCTTTTAACTTAAAAATTAACTAAATAAATCAAGAGCGTAATTATTTTGGTAATAACAATGTAATGGATTGAATGTCTTTTTTGGTATTTTGGTTAGCCTAGTTTCTTTATCAGAAGCTCATTTGATGGAGGATTTCGTGGATTCAAGACAATTTGATAATAGTTTGCCTGAAGCTGTACTTACAAATGACTTCCGGGTACTGAGACCAAAACAACATCACGGGCAGAACTATTCTTGCGAATGCTAATAATCCAGATATCTTGTTGGCTGAGTTACAGTTTAGGATAATTTACATCGTTACTACAATTCAAAATGCTGACAAATACACGAAAGTTGAAGCAGATAAAAAGACAAAATATAATATGTAGACCTTTCTCACAAGTTGAATGACATGTGGGGTGGTCTGCCGGCCAAAATTATTAATTATTTCAGTAGTCCTTTCTGTTAACGGGTTAATCCCAGACCCTTTCCCCTTTTAACGCTCGGCTCGGCTTTAGTATCCCCTTCAAGAGGCTTTCGTCTGTTTCAAGTATTTTATTTATTGTTATTTATTTCTATTGTATGTCACATATTTATATTTATGCACAATATATAAACATATCAAGCCATTACAAAATCAATTTACCCCAAAAATGATATTTATAAGTAAGGGCCTATTTATTTAAATAATATTGAAGGTGTGTCTGTAATATTAAAATACCTGTCTTATATTGAGCTAAGGGCGTTATTTGCATGCCATGAACAACCTTTTTTTTAATTTTTGTGTGCCTGTTCCTAATTCCGGGCTAATGTTTGGAATGATTGAACCTTGATAATCATTCCAAACATTAGCCCGGAATTAGTGCCCGGATAATAATGATACTTGACAAACATAAAGAGGATAATACCAATATAAAATACGAGGATAGTTACGTAGGCTATCATTATAGTTTAGCAACTAGCAGCTTTTATCAGAATAACTTGAAATTATTTCAGAGAAATAGATAAGGTATTTTTTTGAGATTATCTTAAAAGCCACATTAATAAATCCTCGCGCACAGACGAAGCCGGGCCAGATATCTAGTATACAATTGGTGTGTCTGTTAGTGATCGTTTCAATTTTGACTTGTCGCGCTCTTTCATAGCTAAGCTCTGACATTTCAGTCATGTTAATATTTAATTCGATAATTATGGAACAAAATGTTCGCAATACACAAATATTATGTTGGTTTAGTGGTCAAAAAGAAAATCATAAAATTGGAAACCAATCGGTGGCACTGTGGTCAAGTAATTAATAATTTTTACTTTTACACTGTCCGGAGTGAATTATGGTTGAAACTCGTCTCGTCACTTACCGTAAAGGGTAGATCAACGTTTGCCGGGCCAGTCATTAATGTACCTACATTAATTACAACATAATTGATAAGTTATTACTTCTATGGTATTTGATAATGATTGATATTTCTTTATACCTGTGGTTATTTCAATTTAACCCTTTTCCTGTTCCGTGAAACATAAACTAATCATAAGGGTGACAAGCGAGCACACAGTCCAACTGATGGTAAGTGATTACTGTGGCCCATAGACATCTAAATCTATCCCCGTATGCGAATTAAAATGCAGATGCGTTGTAAGCCGTGAGAACTAAGATGGAATGCCTATCTTCTAATAAAATGGGTCTACGATTCTCTACACTCACCATACGATACACGGCAGCATTAAGCTGCTATTTTACGCTGGTATTCTGTGAGAGCGTGGTCCTTCCCCGCTCGAGCCGAACCATTCGTGCTACAACTATACAATTAATATAGCTGCAGTATGGCTTTACAACGTAATGTTTGCTTTTACACGTTATTTCATCGGTATGTTTTTATTCGTATATTAGTTTTGATATCTTGGTTTCATATATCTCGTTTATCAACTAGCTCTGGAGGTAAGCAGTTATTGTAGAATTTTACTAAAAGTCCCTACACCTTTTCTTCCAGATAAGGACGTCTCTTTTTATGAATTCAAATTTAATTTTACAGTCGCCTATCCACAGGCAAAAATACACATAATTCAACCAGTTCGTAATTGGCCCTGAACTTGGTAGTACCATTTGATTTTTGTGTTGACTGTGAAAACGTCAGATTTATACAATCAAAATTCAATTTTATTTTGTTTGATTGCTTCTTCGGGTAACATGTTATAATCGAATCAGAAGAAACACATTTTTTTATTCAATATAGATTATAAATAATACTTATTGAAAGTCACACTTTTGCTGCATTACCACTCATCAATCAAATCAATGAGCATTTCACTACTGAATAGACAGGTTCACACTTGCCGTCTGGACTAGTACCCAGAAATGAAAATTTGTGTTATATAATGTAAACTGCATTCATATATTTTAACATTTAAAGCGCTTTCTAATTCTCGGGACGCTTTACGCTCGTTGTTATTGCTATTTTTATTGATGGCACATTGGTTACATCGTAGCCACTTAGTAATTGCTTAACGAGGACAGCGCAGTTGCTATTTTCAAGCCCTTTGCAAACTCTGATAAACCATGAAGCTGTTAATTTTTCTTCTAGTTTTCAAGAGCGAGTTTCCACTCTGTAAAACAGTCAGTATAGTTTTTCTGTTCTGGGGACTTCAGCAAATGTAATATATGGTCAAGTCATACCTGTTGAACCTTTTGGTTCAATTCCTTTGTTTTCTGATCGGGAACATATGGCAGAATATTTGTTTTTATTTTTTAGTAAATTTTTCACACCCACAGTGCAGGACTTCTTTACTGTGCTGGATACCAATGGTTGCAGCGTTAGAAGAAGCATCGTAGCTTCTGATGTATGAACGTTTACTCAACATATGTCTACGATTGTGGCTTTCATTGGTTATCCTTGAGACGATATAATATTTCTGATGAGTTTTACATGCTCCATCTCTTCTCTCCTAGCCACAACCCTATAATGCTCCACCGTTTGTTCCCACCTCTGTAAACTTAATTACGCGTTGCTTCATACAACCGCAGAGGTACGGTGAGATGTCTACATAGACAAGAACAATATGAAGCTGGATATATCCAGCATCAGTAGATATCACCAGTATATAATTCCTGCTATAACTTCCTGATTTATGCCTATATTATTATCGCCTTAAAGCATTTTTTCGAGCTTTAAATTCTCAACACAAATTTTGCAAAGAAGTCTATCATTTTAATGAAGGCTAGTTCTTTTTTTTTCTTTATAATTACTGCTGCTTAAAAAATTCCAATCATTATCAGACACAAAATAAACCAAATCTAATTACTTTCAACTTTATCCGTTCTTATCTCATCATCAATTGGGACTTTCTTACTATGCCTGAAGTTAAACCACAAACTAGTAGTTATTCATGTGTAATCATGCATACTCGTAACTAACTAGCTAGTATGAGATAAATAAAACTAATTTTACGGATTTTATCGCGTATATTAACTTATTTTACTTTCCCGACGTTTCAAGCACTTTACAGCACCCATGGTCACGGGGGGGACTGAGGTGTATGACGTCCCAATGTCATAGTTAACCACGGCTACCTCCAGATTAAAAATTATTAATTTTTGTTCCGATCTACGCAGTATGAACTTACAGTATCATGAAGTCTTGCAGTTGTATGCTTGGGTTGGGATTTAATTTTATTAATTATGGGATCCCAAGCAGATGGTAGCACCCAGCCATCTTCTCTATTGAAATTAGGATGTTTTTTGATTTCAATAGCCTCGCGAATCATCCTTGGAAGGAATCGGTGTTCTTTAGCGAGGATTTGTGGTCTATCAAATCTAATGTAGTGACGGGGGCGATCCTGTACGTGTTCACAGACTGCAGACTTCCCGGAGCGTCTATTCTTCACATCAGCTATGTGTTCTTTAACGCGGGTTTTTATGGATCTTTTAGTTTGTCCTATATAAGAGAGACCACATTCACAATCCAGCTTGTACACTCCTGCATCTTGCAGAGGAATATTACACTTGACTGATGGTAAAAACTGACTAATCTTCTTCGGCGGCTTGAAATATGTTTTAATGGAAGCACGCTTCAAGATGTAGCCAATCTTGTCAGTGACACCTCTGACATATGGCAGTACAGCAGGCACTCGCTCGACTGTGGCCGGCTTCACTCGTTCACTGTGACGTAGGCGCGGGACCCGAAGCTTATTGTCGTGCAAAACTTGCTTGACGTGTTGGAGCTCGGCGGCCAGGTGTTTACTGTCACAGATCCCTTGTGCTCTCTGAAACAAAGATTTACCCACGGTAGCTAACTGTGAAGGATGGTGGTGAGAATCACCGTTTAAATATCTATCTGTATGGGTCTTTTTTCTATACACAGTGTGGCTCAAGGTGTTATCAGGATTCCGAATTACTAACACATCTAGAAAAGCTAAAGAATTGTTTGCCTCTAACTCCATTGTGAACTGAATTTTAGAATTTAAGGAGTTAAGATGGTCTAAAAATGCAGTTACTTTATCTAAAGGTAGAATTGTGAAAGTGTCGTCTACGTACCGCTTGTAGAATCTTGGCTTTATGGGAGAAGTATGCAGGGCTTTCTCCTCAAAGTCCTCCATGAATATATCGGCAACAATGGGAGATACAGGTGAGCCCATCGCCACACCATCTACTTGCTTGTAGAACTCCTCCTTCCACAATAGGTAGCCAGATGTAAGGCAGTGTCTGAGTAATACTGCATATTCTACGGGCATGTTATTTTCCTCTAGCCTTCTAGTAACAATCGAGATGCAGTCTTCAACAGGTAGGCATGTGAACAGAGACTGCACATCAAAACTCACCATAGTTTCATTGTCTGCCAGATGTAGGTCTTTAATCTCGCTGACAAAATGGTAGGAATCCTTTGTGTGTGCTCTTGTATGTCCCTTGAGCGGTGAGAGTATATTCGCTAAGTGTTGAGCCAATCTGTAAGTTGGTGAATCGATTTGGCTCACTACAATATGAAATGCCACGGTAGTTATGGATACGTCAGATTATAATTCTAAAATACAAGAACTTTTGTCGGATGCAAGTACGTATAAAAAGGTTAAAAATGACCCAACAAATAACACACTTAAAACAACTAGTGATCTCATAAAGAAACACTCCGAAAAATTAAATCTAGACGTAAAATCGATAATACCTACGTGTGCTAAACCACCGAAGTTGTATGGGTTACCAAAAATACACAAGCCCAATGCTCCACTACGTCCTATAGTGAGCCAAATCGATTCACCAACTTACAGATTGGCTCAACACTTAGCGAATATACTCTCACCGCTCAAGGGACATACAAGAGCACACACAAAGGATTCCTACCATTTTGTCAGCGAGATTAAAGACCTACATCTGGCAGACAATGAAACTATGGTGAGTTTTGATGTGCAGTCTCTGTTCACATGCCTACCTGTTGAAGACTGCATCTCGATTGTTACTAGAAGGCTAGAGGAAAATAACATGCCCGTAGAATATGCAGTATTACTCAGACACTGCCTTACATCTGGCTACCTATTGTGGAAGGAGGAGTTCTACAAGCAAGTAGATGGTGTGGCGATGGGCTCACCTGTATCTCCCATTGTTGCCGATATATTCATGGAGGACTTTGAGGAGAAAGCCCTGCATACTTCTCCCATAAAGCCAAGATTCTACAAGCGGTACGTAGACGACACTTTCACAATTCTACCTTTAGATAAAGTAACTGCATTTTTAGACCATCTTAACTCCTTAAATTCTAAAATTCAGTTCACAATGGAGTTAGAGGCAAACAATTCTTTAGCTTTTCTAGATGTGTTAGTAATTCGGAATCCTGATAACACCTTGAGCCACACTGTGTATAGAAAAAAGACCCATACAGATAGATATTTAAACGGTGATTCTCACCACCATCCTTCACAGTTAGCTACCGTGGGTAAATCTTTGTTTCAGAGAGCACAAGGGATCTGTGACAGTAAACACCTGGCCGCCGAGCTCCAACACGTCAAGCAAGTTTTGCATGACAATAAGCTTCGGGTCCCGCGCCTACGTCACAGTGAACGAGTGAAGCCGGCCACAGTCGAGCGAGTGCCTGCTGTACTGCCATATGTCAGAGGTGTCACTGACAAGATTGGCTACATCTTGAAGCGTGCTTCCATTAAAACATATTTCAAGCCGCCGAAGAAGATTAGTCAGTTTTTACCATCAGTCAAGTGTAATATTCCTCTGCAAGATGCAGGAGTGTACAAGCTGGATTGTGAATGTGGTCTCTCTTATATAGGACAAACTAAAAGATCCATAAAAACCCGCGTTAAAGAACACATAGCTGATGTGAAGAATAGACGCTCCGGGAAGTCTGCAGTCTGTGAACACGTACAGGATCGCCCCCGTCACTACATTAGATTTGATAGACCACAAATCCTCGCTAAAGAACACCGATTCCTTCCAAGGATGATTCGCGAGGCTATTGAAATCAAAAAACATCCTAATTTCAATAGAGAAGATGGCTGGGTGCTACCATCTGCTTGGGATCCCATAATTAATAAAATTAAATCCCAACCCAAGCATACAACTGCAAGACTTCATGATACTGTAAGTTCATACTGCGTAGATCGGAACAAAAATTAATAATTTTTAATCTGGAGGTAGCCGTGGTTAACTATGACATTGGGACGTCATACACCTCAGTCCCCCCCGTGACCATGGGTGCTGTAAAGTGCTTGAAACGTCGGGAAAGTAAAATAAGTTAATATACGCGATAAAATCCGTAAAATTAGTTTTATTTAAATGTGTAGTGTTCGCGTAAATATAAGAAATCATTAGTATGAGATAAATTTACCAAACTTTTAACTAAATTTTCCAAAGATTTTCGTTTTATTATATTTGCTAAAAATGGCTTGGTTTTATTTTCCATTACGTCTGAATCATAATTTCTTGTTTCTATAAAATAAATATTCTCGTCCATCAAAAATAGTACTAAAATGTTTTACTTTATAAAGGAGACTAGTCGATAACACTATAATAATGCACTATACTCGTATGCTTGGCAAACGTCAGGCAGAACGCCTAGCAACATGACCTCTCTCTGGAAAGCCTAGCAGCTGTCTAATTAGAACTGATCCAAACGCGGAGTTTTGGGTAAAGGTTAAAAATATGTTTTCTAGCATATTAAGCTATTATTTCATTAAATTAAGTAACATAAATTGGTGACAATAATCGTTTTATCCACAGCATTTTCATAAAAATTTCACTTGGTTTGAATTTCTAATTTCTAATCTGCACAACCTAAATCAAAACATCTTTTCTAGTAACTATTTCCCTTGGGGTTTTGTCAAAATGATTGTATTTTTAAGTTTTGTAAAATTGTGAGCTATTTAAAATATTTTAAGCTTTGAAATTAATGCTAAAGTGAAATTAAGAAAACCACTCTTTAGTTTTCTTCATATTATCCACAAACGCTGTATTAATGTTAAAAAAAATCTCTTATAATTATTTAGACTATAAAATTTCCTAAACTTACGAGTAATTAACATGTTTAGGCCAAACAATTACCATTTCAAATTTGCATTCAACACTCGTGTCCTCCCGCTAACTTTGTAAAGGTCACCGTCGCCCCACTCCAGTGTGGGTCGCTCGGCAGAGGGCGCGGGCGCAGGACGCGAGTGCGAAGTCAGTAGCTTGACAGCAGCGGCGCTGTCGATTAGCGAATTTTTGTGACCGCTACATCGGTTTCGCGCGACCCGTTTTTAGGTTTTGGGGTCTAAAATTTGAGTATTTGTGCGCGTTTAATTTGCTATTGAATTTGGGGTTTCGTGTAGACCGCCTTGAATTAGTTTGTCTAAGTTGTACGTTCGTGACAAGAGGCTTGTATTGAATTTGACTCATTAAAGTAATTTCGTTTGAAAGTAATTACGTCAATTGTATAGTGACGTGGAACCTTGCGCGCACGCCGACTGGACATACGGTCTGGAATTTGATGCTCGCATTCCATTTCGAGGGCGTGGTCCGGTAAATTGTTTTTGGAAGTTAATGTTTAATTGTACCGTCGCGTTAAGTGCCTTTTGTGTGTTGACTATGTAGTTAGTTTGCGTGTCAGCTAGGCTGATTTTGAGTCTTAATGCGGGCGCAGTATTTAATATCGTACGAAGGAATTTAGTTTGTTGTTTGTAACGCTGAACTTTGGGACTCAAGAAGAGGTCGCGTTCGGTTCTAGAAATAATTTGTTGCTGAGTGAAAACGGAAGTGAACTTTGATCTACCGTTCCATTAGTCGTGCCGTGTGTTACGTTTTTGATTCCGATTAACGGGGATTTAGTTGAGTTTGGAGTTAATTAAATGTACAATAAAGTTGATGGATTGAAATAGTGTACAATAAAGTTGATAGACTGAAATAGTGAAATGAAGAAAGAAGTTGTCAATTGGTGACGTTCACTGGGGTGAGCCAACATTTTGGGGCAGCATCGGACCAGGCCGCTGCCCGATCACCTCAGTTAGGTCAGTTCACATAAATAAACACTACTACACACCACTTACATGCACCTTCACCTACCTACCGCCTGACCGAGCCTTGGGGCAGTCTTAGCTTCGGAACCAGGTACGTACTATTTATTTACCTAGCCTTATATTTATTGTGTAGAATGATAAGTCTCCATAGGCCGTAGGGCCCCGTCCTCTGCTGCCCGTCGATTGGACTACTGATGGGCCCTAGTCCAGTTAACCTTTGTTGGGGCAGCTAGGGGCGTCTACAATTTTGGTAGCAGAGCGCGGTTTGGATTGGTTCTCCAATCAAGCCCGGCCGTAATATAGGTAATAAATAAGTACGTAATAAAATTAATTTTTTTTTGTTGTTTGTTAGCGGGTAGAATTAAAAGCCGCGCCCGTTGGGCTACGCATGCAGGAGTTTGTTAGGGCTAGGTATGCATCAGGTATTTTGAGTAGATAGATCATGTTATAACGTAATCGGATATTTATCGTTGTCGTATAATTATAGTAGATTAATTGTCCAAGAGTCGGTTGTCTGAGCGAGGCGTTTTTGCTGATCGACTGTGGTGTATACCTTTATTTGTAGAGTAATTTGTATTTAATTTAATAAATAGTAATTTGTATTTAACTTGGTTTGATAGGAATTGTATTTGTTATTTGTTAATTGATTTGTATTTGAGCCGCGTAGTAATTTGTATTTATAAGTGATGCCATGGCACTGCCAGGGCAATCACCATGCCGCTTTGTGCCTGGGTGCGAACGGCCCTTCCTCTCAGGGCTCTGCCGGGCCCTCGACTCCCATGGGTGGGGGCGCTCAGCGGCGGCCCCCTGTCGGGCGACGCTCGGCGCTCGCCTGCCGGCTACCATGCCCCTGGGTTCGAAAGGGGTCCCTCCCCGAACCAGTCGGGGGGTCATTCCCCCAGGGCCGAGGGGGGTCGTCTCCCCCCCCTCAGCGTGTTGTGAGGGACTTCACAGCCACTCAGCGGTCAGCTAGACCCTTCTCACCCCGTCAGCTGAGTGGCCGCGACTGGGGTACCACCGTCCCCCCTTTGATGGAGGCAGCCCCAGCTAGGTAGCTGCCGCCCTAGCTCCCACCACGGCCGCCTGCACTAATCCTTTGAGCCGTCAACAGCCCACTTGTCAAACTGTTCTCAGTTGGGGTGTACAACGCGTGTGTCCATTGTTTAACGGTTCGCGCTCTATTGGATTCGGGTTCACAACACGGTGTGGCCTCCACTTGGTTGTTGGGAAGACTAGGGCTCCCCTGGAGCGTTGAATCACGCTGTCAAGGACTATTAGATTTGGTTTTGGTCGAGCACTTAATTAATGATGCTTTAAATTAAAAATAAAAA